CAAGGGAATATGATATACTGATCGCTGTTATCACCTCACGTGTTCGACAAAATACTGTAATCACCAGTCAGGGCGTTATGTTAATTTTTTCTCTTTCAGAAAATGACCATTCGATGAAAAGTATTTGGACGAAGGTTAAAATTACCACTTCTAGGAAGGTGTTTGCAGGGCTAATTGTATTGCCCTCGAGGAAGACTCTTTTTAAGACGACAAAATAAATTTTCATTAATTAATGTTTTTATGTGTGTTTGAATAAGTGACTGTGGATACTTTGTATACCGAATATATAATAAAAATACGGTCGTCATTCATAATATATCACTGATTAAAATTATTTGCCTTCGCAATTGGAATAAGTATGTATCGGTATGTCTTTGCATTTGAAGATCGAACTGTTGTGAAAGCCAAACGACGCCCTAAAAGTGACATGCTGTTTGCTGCATATATTCGCATTTACTGCAATATACATTATAGAATTATAACGCAATTATATATATGTATACCTATAAAGAATTAATTTTATGTTTATTGTTATACGAGTACATAAACAAAGAAGAAGCGGCGTGGAAAGTAATTGAAATAATATCAAAGGCGATACAATAAAAAAACAAAATCACGAATCATTGGAAAACACAGAACTTTGACTCGCCAGTAAATATTCAAATGGGCTTAGCTCGACTTAGTTCTGATATATGTTCTCGAATTAAGATATACAGCAAACACGACTACCCATGAATAAAACGACTTTCCTTTTAATGCTGTGGATTTGCAAACATATCCACGTTATGCTGACTTTTGAAGTGTAAAGCACATAATTATCAAATACACCCATAAATAATTAAACTTGTAAATTTAATTTTTATTATAAATAGAGCACTCATCGGCATGAGAAAAATCAAGACCGGAAAGAGAGATGAGTGAGTAATTTTAATAGTTGATTTTGATTTTTTATTATAAAGTCTATTATGTCTTTGTATATATTTATTAGTGATTTTATTATTAAAATATTTAAATAATATATATTATACTATGACACATCAGACCTGTTAAAAGCTAGATTTTTTTGATGGACCTGTGAATAGAATAGTTTTTAACTAATTAAGTTTTTAATTAAGATTATTAATTCCAATTGAAATTATAATTATTGTTAACAGATATTATCAATTTATAAATTTATTCACTAACAGCCAAGACTATCTCTGTGAGGTGCCCTCTAGCCACTTCAGTGTAAAAAACAAATTACAAAATAATAAAATTTTTTTAATTATCGATTAGGTATAGACTTTTTGCAAATTACAGACGATTTGATTAAAGATACTTTTTGCCATTCAATCTTCCAATTATATTTTTTTGTTTTCGATTTTATGAATTGATAGCACGTTAATCAAGAAATTGATTGGGAATAAGAAGAATAGAAGTTAAATAAATAAGATTTCTATGGTAATGTACAGATGTATCTCAGTTGTAGAGTATCACTCCACTCTTCCTGGCATTTAGTTCCGGAATGTATTTATTAATCTAATTTTTAGGTGTACATTTTCGGATAAATATAATATAATTTTTTATAAAAAATAATAAAAAATAACAGCTACAATTCTATCATACCGGTAAAATTAAATACCGGTAAAAATAAGAGATCTTGAAGCAATAAAAGGCAATGATAAGGCTCATCAAAATTTTTGACGCTTGTCCGGACCTTTGTCTAGAGATAGCATAACAGATCTATTTAAGTCACATAAACTACTTTTATCACATTTTCTTAATATCAAGCGTTCTGTTATAGTCCGAACAGGAAATTGAATAGATGAAGTTTTTGCTATTATAGCAAAATTGGCAGATTTTTTTATTAGATGTAAATGTGAAAAATCCTGCAATAACATTTAGTTCCAAAACTTTAATAATGGAAGCATTGATTACTCAAGCTTTGTTCAATTTGGGTTGACAAGTTGGGTTTGACATATAACAAGACTGAGGGAGAAGAGCTATAGAGTCGAGAATATTAAACACAACAATCGTCCAAGATTGCATTCCTTCAACGATGTTAGCGAAAACTAAGTAAAAAATAGAAGATATTAGGATAGTAAAGTATAGTTGACAAGGCTGAAGGCCAATCAGACTTGTAACGTCATCAAATAATATTGATGTGGATTTGTGTCATTTTTTTAAACTAGTATTGACTTCGTACAATTAAAACTATGAATTTTTATTTTGAAATAAATTAAAAATATTCGATTTTTTTTAATGACAAACCCTTGTCTATCATAGTACTTCATATTAACTTAATTCCAAGTATTTGATGTCTCAAAAAAGACAACTATAAAACCAGTGTTGTTGGTTAACATTCTATTTTCTCAATAAACGAGTGTTCTTTTGCAGTATTCAACCCAAGGAATACCATGAATAAAAAATTCAATTTCGAATAGGTCCAGCAGTTCAATGTATTATGGAGTTATTGCATAATATTATCTACAGTTAAAGACAAATGTCTATAGCATAAGTCTATGTTTACTCTTAAAATTTTTTATAAATTGTCTTCGCTCCGGTACCATTTTATGTAAGAGCCAAGCAAATTTTAATTTTATAGGTAAGTAACTAAGTTTAGAGTTTTAGAGAATAGGAAAACATATCTGCGATAATTTTTCGTGCAGAGACATTAAAATCAGAATCTGTCTAATAACCCACAATCAGTGTATATACTACATTGGTTTAGTCACTGTATGTAGCAGCACCTGGAACACGTATATACAAATACTTACAGCTAGTCAACTATCACTTACTGGGTCCCAAGGAATTTGTAATATTTTATTTATAGAATAATTATAGACGTAGTTCTATGTCTGGTGTGGTATTTGATTGGAATAACAATATTAACTCAAGAGTTTAGGATTGTAAATCCATATACATTAAAATACGTTAAAGTACGTTAAAGCACGTTCATATTCAACCATAAGCAGTTAACGTGTAGATACAGATATATACAGTATATCAGTATATACAAATAAAAGTAAATCAATTACTGGTAAAGCCAGCCTGAAAATTAACCATTAAGACACGAAAAATTAATTAACTGCATATAAAATTATTACACAAGGAAAGTCTTTCTATCAATAAGTAAAATATCTTGAATGTTAAGAATATAACATCGCTGGGTAATATAATTGGAAATAGTGGCGTAGAATAATCTGTGATTCTACGTACACAAAAAGAAAAGTTTGGTTAAATAAAAATGTTAGATGGACCTCCTAATCATAGAATATGGATTTTTAATACATATGTGAAGTCTATGTGAAGTATATGTCTTGTCATAGCAAAAACAAACATGAAATAACAGCTTTCAATACAGTCTGACAAAGAGCAATGACGAAATAAGCAATCTGACAACTGTAAACTAATACAAAAGACGGTAAAGATATGGATAAATTCGTTATACATTGCGAAAACCACATTAAGATATAGCATGCCCAGCATTTACATTGTGTCCTCAAGGTACTCGGTGGTATGACCGACACAGATATAAAGTCTGATTCACGAGCTACTTGTAGTAAAACTCAAGTAAAACACGAGTAAAGTACAAACTTACAGGGATGTCACGCTCTCTGAGATGCTCTCATTTACTCGAAAATTTTCTGGTGGAGCACACCTGTGTATATGTTACACAGTGTTACTCAAAGTTACTAGGAGTAGCTCGTGGAACAGACTTATTTTGAAGAAGAACGATTCTAAACAAAAGGGTAAATCGTTTAACGAGTTACAATCATTAGCATGTATTAGAAACGTACGAGGAACTTATATTGAAACTTTAAGCTCGTTATGAGAGCGTTACTAATATAAAATACCGATTTAGAATTCTTACGCTAAGTATAACTGCATTTGACGTGCCATGAAGGCCAATACTTTACAAAGTCTTAAATAGTTTATTATTGTAAAATATGTATATATATTATAATTATTTATTATTAACATTATTTGCTTTCACTTTTAGCATGTACGTAATACTAAAATTTCTTACTAAGAATTTATTTTAAACAGAAAGAGCGCTGAACCTAGAGAGATGGATATAGCGGGACCACTGTTAGTCGGAAAGTCTTGAATATATATTATGTTCACAGTTTCAGACATTATCTTCACTGTGAAAATCATATAAAAAAGCGTTACGACGTTATGGCGTTACGGTTACTCGTCTAGAGTATTTGCTAAGGGCACAGACAATTAAATTATAATGTTGTTCAGTCGAAGCCCTGAGTAGTCAGAGCAGCCAGAGCAGCCAGAGCTGCCGGAGCTGCGATGATTAATTTATTTACAATTCTTTATAAGTAAATGTTGTAATAAATGAATAAGTAATTATACGCAACTTTTTTACATAAAGTATTTATTCATTTCACACACAGTCGAGTTTATTCGCTTTAAAAAAACGTGCTCGCTATTTAAGAATATTTCTTGAACCTTAGTTGCTTCAGTTTAATTTATTGTTTCTATTTTTTAATTTAAAATGAAATTTCAAACTTTCCGCTGATAAACAAAAGGGCAAAACACAATAAGTTTTATTTAAATTATTAAATTTAAGTTTTAAAACAAAAAAAAAAAAATAGGTTATCAGTTGCACTCATAAAATATATATAACAAACAACAACAACAACAACAACAACAACAGCAACAATTGTTACAATCGGTCACAGAACAGCGTTTATCTAATGCATTTATTTTTGGAAAAACATTTAATTACACCCGTATTCAGACAACCACTACGAATATATATATAATATACCTAGTACTGAGATGTTAAAAATTAAGCTAAAATTTTATCTATCCGCTTTACTCTCCTTTATTGCTTTATTTTCATTTAATTAAAGATACTTTAAACGCTCATAAACTTCTACGGGGGGAACCGTTTCAAAATAAAAGACTTTCGTTCTTCAGAAAACACTTACAAATGTATTAATGTATAAATGTATAAATGTATAAATGTATATAATAAAGTACATATAACAGAGAATACTTACGAAGTCATAAACAGATGTCATTAAATTCGGGAAATTAAAAATAATTAAAGAACGCCGCAACACACAAAAAACTGTTCTTGCACTTGCCTCTCAAAAGGCTGATATTTAAAGATTCAAAGTCAAGAACTTTCCGTTCTCTCCGATTTTGCTATTTTTGCTATTTTTGCTATTTTTGTTATTTTCAGATTTTTATTTATTTTTAAATTTCAACATAAGTATTTTTAAATTGATTCCAGAAGTAGATTAATATTTTTTATTTACAATAAATTAATTTAAATATATATATCACAAAATCACATCGCCGAATACATTGTTAGTGCATTGGAACTCTAAGTATTTATAATTAAAAATAATTAATAAATTAAATTATTTATATATCATAAAATCTTTATTATAAATTTTATTATTTAATGTTCAGAATTATTTGTCAATTGGCGTCAACTACTCAATTTGCCTGTACCGCGTATCTCGACGTCTATGTACGACTGATTTAAGTTCAAATATCGCACTGAAAACAATTTTCAAACCTCGCCGCACAAAACCAAAATCAAAACCAAAACCAAAACCAAAACCAAATCAAAACAAAACACAACAAAAGAAATTAATGACAAACAAACACACCGCAAATGCAAAAAACACACAGAATTTGTTGTAAATTGACTTTTGGTGCTTTTGCTGCATTTGGAAATTAATGCGCCTCAACGTAGACGATGTGACGCAGCCTGGTCGAGTTTATTGGGAAATCGGTTATTAATCATTGCAATTCCTGAGCCATAACAAATACGATATGCTGTGTATATAGTGTTCGAAGAGTGGCGAAGACTGAACATAGAATTAGGAAAGTAAAAGAAGGAAATTATTAAGAAAACACAGTCTCTCCGTGGTAGGTAAAAGGTTTCAGAAGAAAGTCACTAAATAAATAATTGACACGCCTAGGATTAGATCACAGAACTATGAACCGAACTAAAATGAAAAAATAAATTATATTATTAAAGGTACAGAAGCCAAATCATAGACTTCTGAGCAATAGTGAAAGAAGTTGTGATGGGCAAATGTGGAACTACTATCTGATTTCTTCAAGAAAAAAAGTCAATGATTCCTATTCCATTATATTGTATGGATAAACACATAAAAAATGTTATTATATGATAAGCAATAAAGTGTGTTTTTATTTCTGAGTTTTTGAAATAAAAAAGTCAATGATTCCCATTCCATCATATCGTATAGATAATCACATAAAAAATGTTATTATATGATAAGCGATAAAATGTGTTTTAATTTCTGAGTTTTTGAAATAAAACTCAGTTTTAGATATTTTTGTAGCATTGTTGATAATGCTGAATATGATTTCCAAAAAAGCCATTAGGGGAGTGCCTCAGGAAGTTCACGGTGGAAAGCTATTTCTATATAGTTCTTTGGCAATCTCTATTGACGTCACCACGGACATCATACGACAGCTATGCTTTAAGACACGAACCTAAGTAACATAATTGTTAAGGTCTATTTGCGACATTTGGTATGTCCGATATAATGGATGGTACACTGCTTCATTGGTAGGCACACCAATTGATTGAGCCAAACCGCCCTACCCATCACAAAACAAAAAACTGCTGTCGTTGTTGCAGATGAAAGAAATAAGTGGAAAATAATACCCGATACCTTGTCACTTACCGGTACTTGATAGAGGGCGCACATCTATTCTTGGGTGTCCCTTCCTAAAGTGTTTGTCTGGTATCATTGGTACAGACATAAAAACCATCACCTGCTGTATTAAAGGAATAAAGTGTTATTCGATTTAAAATAGGGTTGTCTTGAAATAGTTGGCGTGTTCATATACTATATATATAAACAGTGGTATGTTATCACTGGACTGTATTCATAAAAAGTAATTAATAATGTGCAACCAAGATTAGCTGTTTATGAATACTGAAGCAGTCGTAGGTAAAAACCCTTATAAGTTCATCAAAGAAAAATCAAGAGTTTAGAATACATTATAGAAAAATAAATGAAAAAAAAATGATTATTGATTATTGGGTATCACAAAACCACAGCGAGATCTGTTTCTAACAATGAGATGAGTGTGAGAAAGGTCACATCAAATTTGATTTGAATACAGTCCAAATTTACTAGACCGTATAAATAATAATGAATGAATAATGAAAGTTGTGCGTTATGTCGGAAAAGAAGAGGGTTTGTCGTCTCAGAAGCACACTACACGAAAGTGGTGCATGACAGATGAAAAACTCTTTTATAAAAAATGTTCACACAAGTTTAGTTGTATTTTTATATTGACACTTACACATGTCTTTTCAAAATAATATCCAAATCAACTTGGATCTTACGAATTTTGTTAGCAGAGTTTTATTTTATTGTAGATATAAGGAGTATGTTCTATAATTAGTGACTTTAATATAATTATCTGCACAGTTACGTTGTCATTGTCTTTAATTGTTGAGTTTGTGTATTAGCACGTGATTACTTGAGAAGAGAACGGAGAAGAGAAGTATTATTAAAGCTATTACTCGCGCCGCACAGCGACCGACTTTCTGAAGTTATAATAATGGTGCAATGCGCTATCAGTTTAGATCACAAACATGGAATTAACTCCATATAAACACTGAAGAAATTTCACAAAAAAAATAATTACACTTCGTTCGCAATAGAAAACTCAACTCATGACGTCAAAATATCATGAGCACTGTAAATAGTTCTCCATCAAATCAAGTAGAAATGTTGTTCATCGCAGGGTAAATTTTTTTTATGCTATTTCTATATGACGACTTAGTGTGAGAATCCCTAAAATAAAAGTGATCTATATTCTATATTCTTATCATGTCAATATAAAATGTCGCTTTGATTGTATGATTCATAGATGTGACACTCTATAGCCATTAAGTTTTGTCTTAAGCCAATGATCTTTATGATCTTTATGAATATCTTGAATTGCGATAACTATAATTGTTCGATCTTATCTGCATAATTGTTTGAACGAAGCGAAAAATAAAATAAGCTCTGTATAAAAAATTTAGAATTAAAGATGCCGCATATCGCAGCCTTGTGTTTACTAACGTTAATCAACTACATTGTTGCAGGTATCTGCAACATTCTTTATCATAGAAGTAGTAATACAGACAATGTAACGTTTTAAGGACATGACAACTATACACATTATTAAAAAATGAAGAAATGAACAATTCTACAGCTAACAAATAACTTACTGATCAAACAAATACATTCAGTGCACAAAGTATCCGGAATTTATATTTAAAAAGCGCGGCGTGCAAAAATACGGTCTTTAAGAAGTAGTTGTTGTATTTCATAAATATTATTATTATCTGGAAGATTGGAAAGGGGATATATGAAAATGATAAACATTTATTCTGTGTATAAAGTATCTGGAATTTAAAGTTAGAAAAATGCAAACAAAAATATAACATTTTGCAAGAGAAACTAATCAAAAGACCTCTTCGTGAAAGATGTTTGGACGTATGTCATCTGTCAAATACTGTTCGCATACCCGTTTGGTTCTTTTTCAACTTCTGAAGCTAATATTAATACTTCCAGCAAGTCATTTATAATCGATTTTGGCTATAAAAAAAAAGAAAATTCAAGATAGGAGTTGAATATTATCCTTTCTTTAATCGGGTTAAATAAACTGTATAAAGGGATGCAAATTGGACTTACTTTTAAGACAACAAAACATATTTTGATTAGTTGTTTATTTTTTGTATATTTTATTAAATAATTCCTAAAGCGGTTTTTTCGAACAGTAGTGAACTACAACAACAAAAATTTTATTTCTTATATTATTTTAATTAATTGAATTTTTAGCAGACCATACAGCTGTTTCGAGTATTGCTCGAGTAATACTCATCATCAGTGGTCTTGGAAATAATTCTTGTATTTAATTATTCGTAAATAATTATTTTTGAGACTGCAATCGGTTCCAGGAATCGAACTCGGGTCCTGCCAAATGTGAAGCTCAGAATCAGCGCACCTTAAATAATTCCTATAATTCTTCGTTATAGGATAGAATCTTTATGACACTGCGACTGTAACCGAAACAATGGAATATATCTGGAAATTGTGAAAACTACAACAGTTTGATTTTTACTGCTCGATGAAGCAAAATAAAAAAGAAAAAAAATAATTATAATTATATACATAACATATGTATATACAGATGTGCATTGTAAAAGAAGCATATTGAAGCACAGAATATTTGGTGTCGCAAATCGCAACTTTCTGCGCATTAGATGGAAACAAGCGATTACTGCAGATATCTGCGACGAGTATTCTGCTCTGCATTCAGCATTTAGTATTTTTGTTATTTGTTGTGTTTAGCTAAAGGCCGATAACGGCAACTATACGGCGCAGTTTTTGTTTATATATCCATAAAAATCGTAACTCACAGCGAAATGTTTGCAGATAAATTGTCGATAAAATGGCTGTCATGAAATTTTAAGAAGTTCGCAAATAATTTGCCTCAAGATCTTATGGAGTGCGCAAAAGCCTACACTGAATGAATAGACTCATCGAAAAACAATGCATTTGATAGAATGAAGTCAATTATTGCTTAGTCTGATGAGGTGATAAACAATAATCCAGTCAAGGCGTAAAGAGGGGTTTTGAAGATACCTCGAGTTAATAAAGAGTAAAAGTGCTCAAGTGCACTGGCCTAAATAGCTTCAATATAAAGAGTAAAGATAGAATGAAGCAACTCTACTCTAATATAGTGCAAGAGCCCAGTATTATGTATTGTATGTCATTCACACTCAGAGTCTTAAAAAAAATTTGTTCAAGATAAATACATATTGGCAATTTATGTTCATGTTTACGACGTCGTGAATGGATGAGTAGTGCATGTGAATGATAGTTACAGTCCATTTGTAGTTACAGTCCACAGTGTTTTTTTTATAATAGCAAACTTTAAACTTTAGGAAAATATTAAAAAAATAAAACTTATTAAATTATTTTCAATAAAAAATCAATTTAATAAATAGTTTATTTTCATGGCGTTAATACTATTACTAATATCATCCTTTTTTAATAGAATTAAAATAAAAGTATATATATAATAAATAAATTTGTAAGTTGAATCTATTGCAATAGTTATGAAAAACTAAAAGAACATGACAGAAGATCATATTTCATACAGTTCGATATTATTTTATTATTAAAAATTTTGATGTGAAATCGCCCAATAGTC